CTCTGCGTGTTGGGCCAGCAAGGAGGAGCCCAGCAGACTCCCTCCTGCAGCCAGGACGCGAGCCCAGCATGCATTGCGTGCCACGGAGTGTTGTCATGACAACCCGCGGCAACGCTTTACTGCTGTGGCTCGCGAGAGTGCTGGAGGGGAAGGTAAGTATATCCTGGGCCCGCAGAGGCATATATACATAGCGGTACTCTCTCTATATATATATGCAGATTGAAGGGCTGGGGGCCCGGGCATGCAGAGGATTACCTGTGCAGTCCGGGCCCCCCAGGACCGCCGGGCCCGTGACAACCGTCATGGTTGTCACCCCCTGATGGCGGCCCTGGTGGTGGCACTGACTGGGCAAATGGGCACCGTATCCACTGTGAGCCTGACACACCCGCTTTAAGGACACTGACTGCTATTCAATCTATAACAGTGAAAAAAGTTATTAGCTTTTAAATGCAAGCTATTGTGACACCATATATGAGTGGTGGCACTGAATGGGCAAATGGGCACAGTATCCACTGTTAGCCTGACACACCCGCTTTAAGGACACTGACTGCTATTCAATCTATAACAGTGAAAAAAGTTTTTCGTTTTTAAATGCAAGCTATTGTGACACCAGATATGAGTGGTGGCACTGACTGGGCAAATGGGTACAGTATCCACTGTGAGCCTGACACAGAAGCTGGCAGCAGTGGCAGACAACTAACTGCAATTACATTACACACACAAAAAAAAAATGATGTTCTAGCCCTAAAAAGGGCTTTTTGGGGTGCTGTCCTTACAGCAGAGATCAGATGAGTCCTTCAGGACTGTAGTGGACACTGTATACCCTAACCTAGCTATGCATTTCCCTATCTAATCAACAGCAGCTACACTTTCCCTCCTCTCACCAAGCATGCAGCTTGAGAATGAATCTAAAATGGATGCTGTCCAGTAGGTGGGAGGGTCTGCTAGGGAGGGTGTGCTGCTAATTGGCTGGAATGTGTCTGCTGACTGTGAGGTACAGGGTCAAAGTTCACTCAATGATGACGAATAGGGGGCGGATCGAACCGCGCATGCGTTCGCCATCCGTGACGGACGCTAACACGCTATGTTCGCCAGGAACTGTTCGCCGGCGAACCGTTCGGTGCATCACTAATGAGAATTTATAGACTAGGGGAACTTAGAAGTTCCATGCTTATTTTAGTTTGTGTAACACACTTTTTATACATGTGCTTAAGTTGCCACCGTTATAAATTTTTATAAATTAATCCCTTAACAATAACAAACTGTACTCATGTTTTCTAAAGTTAATTGATGTGTTGTAACATTACATATTCTAAAATTCACACTAATACCTCAGGTTTGATAAGTTGCCTACACCACTATTTCTGAAGCAGATTTTAAAATGTATTAAAATGTGTATTGAAGATTGAATACTGCCACATACAGATACATAGTTTTTGTTGAGGGTAAATGGTACTTAATATAAAATTGATAGATGCACTTTATAATGCTGAAATTTAAATGGCAACTTGAAAAATGCAACATCATTATATAAACACATTCAAAAGAGAATGGGACTTAACAGTGTACCCTGTGAGTTAGGTTTAGGAATAGTTAGGGTTAGATTAGCTAACATGACTTGTGAACGGTGGAAAAGTTCTGTTTGGCCAATTTTTTTTCAGAAACTGATATTTCATTTGGAATGTCCAATACACATTTATGTGCCAGTTTAGTTCAGCTGAATATCATCCATGGAAACATATTCTGGGAAATATTTAGATAAGCACACAATTTGGATAATCGGTGCACAGCATGATATATACATAACATATACATGAACTACTATGTCAGCCTTTAGGGTGTACCTAGGCACACACAGCAAACCTCATGCACACTCCTATGGCTGAAATTTGCACTATTATGGGTATACGTGCAAATATTTCAATTGTTCAAGCTATATTGAGTTCAGATATTGTTAGACAGATGCAGTAGATCACTTTGCAACTAAATTACCTTTTATGGCAATCTTGGCCAAAATAGCTGTATTTTTAAAAATCCTCCATGTCAATTCTGTGTTCAGTGTTTGACCTTACATTGGAAATTCACTTTTAATTCACATTACATTCCCAATAAATCACACTTTAATAAATAACCCTGTAAGGGTTGTACTGGGAGAGAATATGTTTAAAAATCCCAATGTATTTCTCTTAAAGTGAACGGTATACTTGTATGTGCACAGAGAATGCATAAAAAATGTGTGCATATGTTGTGGGAATATGTGTACACTCAGAATGATCAGTGAATTACTTGTGGGCTCACCCATTCTTTGTTTGTGTGCATTTACAATTACTTTCACATGTGTTAATAAAATCACAATGTTTTTCTACATTTTGTCATTTTCGTATCAGAGGGCAGGCACACACCGTGATAAGAAAAAGTAGATTAAATGGCTTCACACCCCCTGCCCTTTAGCCCAAACCAGCACTGCAGAATTTTTTTTATTTTTTTTTGAAGTTTTAAGTGGAAATCTTTTTTATAACTCCAGCAAAAAATGAAATACCCAAGATCAATAAGAAGGACTCTCCTAAATCGTTTAAGTCTATCCATAATTAGATTTATACTGCTATGAAATGTGTTGTCCATTTGTAAAAGTATTTGCGAATAAGATGAGAGATAGAGGACCAAATGAGTACACAAGTTTACCCTGTTATGCACCCATTTACCTTATATCGCAATGGATAACTTCAGCAATGGAAGCAGGCAAAAGAGAGACAGTCCTGATGGTCTGGCCTAAGACCAAGAGATCATGATGGTATCATTAAATAGTTTTAATCACAATATATCTACAGGCACTTCACTATGTGTGAGCTTACTTGAGTGTGGGAATGTATTCAGTTGTAATTCTCTAAAATGGAGAAACAAAATGGGAACTATGTTCTCCAAGGACCAATTAATTTGCCAATGAAGCAAAGCATTATGGGGAATATGCAGTGAGAAAATTGCTGCTCCCAGGGTAACATTTCTACCTAAAAAAAAAACCTAGGTAAAAGCAGTTTCACTTACGTATTCCTTGTTTTCAGCGATTTTAAGTTCCTGAGTGACGCATTGTCAGTCTGCTAAGATTTGTCACACGTATTAATAAAATATGCATCTAAACTTACATTCTTGGACGTATTGATATAGCAATAATACATGAAGAAAAAAATAATCATGTAATGAAATATGAGCTTAAGGTCAGCAGCAGTTATTTGTTTTTTTTCACAAATGCTTGAATATCTTTACATGCCTAGCTGTTAAGAAGCAAACCTATCACAGTGCTGTAAACTTGCCTTTTTAGAGTAAATTTTCAAGTTAACCCCCCAGGAGAAATCGAAGAAACTTAGTAATTATTTTTGCCAATACATTAGTTTCCCGATTTTTTTTATTTCTACAAAACCTGAAAGTGCTCTGCCTCAAAAGCCTGTATAGTCTGGCCAAATTAATGTGATTGGATCTAGGAATAATGATGAGACTTCGGAGCTGGGATAATGTGATTGGGTCTAGACTCTATCCTTGGAATGTGAATCTTCCCCTGGCATGTTGGGCTTTAACCCTAGTAACCCCTTACCCAATATGATGTCATTTCCTGACATCTATAAATCTAAAGATGCACTTATTTTGGAAACAACTGCTTTTTAACATACACTTATTAGTGGTCTTTACCACTCCAGAACTGTTCAACTTGCCCTTATGGACCAGCCTAACCAAGATGAGGGAAATAAATATCTGGAGGAGAGAGAAGAGGACAAATGATACAATGTTTCTATTTCTCCTGCTCATTTTCAATGTTTGTCATCGCATCCTTTGGAATGTACTGAATTGCAATGTAATTTGTTAAATCTTTAATATGAATTTAAAAGAAAATGGAGCATTAAATGAAAAAAGGTTAACATAAGTTGTAGGTGATTTTCAATGTTCTATTCAATGGTGTGATTTCCAGAAGTGACAATTACTCTTTAAATTAAAGGTATGGATCTTACAAAATGTGAAACTGGGAGCAAACTATTAAATGAGACCAAAATACTGCAATGTGTAAATATAAGGCGACCTTTGATGACTTCAGAGAAAGAGTAGTGGGTTCATTAAGTGCACTCTCTACTGTGTTGACCTCAAGTCAATAATGTTTAGAATAGTCTTATTCAGTGCCTTAAATATTTAGAATAGTCTTATTCAGTGCCTTGGAGTATTGTACACAGTATTGGAGACCGTATCTTCAGAAGGATATTGATACCTTAGAGAGGGTTCAGAGAAGGGCTACTAAACTGGTTCATGGATTGCGGGATAAAACTTACCAGGAAAGGTTAAAGGATCTTAACATGTATAGCTTGGAGGAAAGACGAGACAGGGGGGATATGATAGAAACATTTAAATATATAAAGGGAATCAACACAGTAAAGGAGGAGACTATATTTAAAAGAAGAAAAACTACCACAACAAGAGGACATAGTCTTAAATTAGAGGGACAAAGGTTTAAAAATAATATCAGGAAGTATTACTTTACTGAGAGGGTAGTGGATGCATGGAATAGCCTTCCAGCTGAAGTGGTAGAGGTTAACACAGTAAAGGAGTTTAAGCATGCATGGGATAGGCATAAGGCTATCCTAACCATAAGATAAGGCTAGGGACTAATGAAAGTTTTTAGAAAATTGGGCAGACTAGATGGGCCGAATGGTTCTTATCTGCCGTCACATTCTATGTTTCTATGTTTCTATGGTTCTATGTTAAATTCTGTTTGGTGCCCTACTGCCAAACATGATATGTTTATGGAATGGAATTACAATGATACTGTGATTCATATGCAGCCTTTTAATTAAACTCTATTTTTCTATTTACTTCCCACCCTTGATCTTTTTACAAAATGGTTTTGAATGAGTATTAATTGGGCAGTAGGGGAAGGGTTGGTTAAGAACATTGTGACCATTAAACCTATCCTTTTTAACAAACATGTTTCACCCACTCATAGGTGTATCACTGTTTGTAACATGAAGCCCTTATCTCTGGATAATTGTTTGGAATTTGTGGCAGGAACATATAAATGGGCAGAGCATAAACTCCACCAGTATTCTCTGGTTTCACATCAGATAACCATCAAAATGAAAACCATGGTAAGTACTATACAGTGTGCATGTGATCTAGTACATTTCATGTATATTATACACACAGTTATCTACTGAATTTATAATTTAACTCGTGAAAACAGTTTAATAAAAATTTGAGATCTCCAAACTATTTCCATATAATTTATATTGCTAAAAACAAGTTTTTATTATATTCTGACATTTTAAAAATGTAAAAACCTTCAGGTTAACATGTTAGAATAGCTTTGATAAGAAGTTATTTTGAACATTGTATAGCAATCAAAATTATTTCAGCAACTGTTTGGAGAACATTTATTTATTTTATGTCTTCTGATGGTTTTAGTTTGAACATTGCACTATACTTTATTCATTGTGTAAATATTAAAACAAAGGGATTAATAAATGTGATTTGAGTGTGTGCACACACTTTCATTTACTGTATTTAAGCATTCATGTGCAGATAAATTGTTTATATGACTTACATAGTTTTACACCCCACCTCCTATAGAATGTAAGCTCGATTGAGCAGGGTCCTCTTCAACCTATTGTTCCTGTAAGTTTATTTGTAATTGTCCTATTTATAGTTAAATCCCCTCTCATAATATTGTAAAGCGCTACGGAATCTGTTGGCGCTATATAAATGGCAATAATAATAATAATAGCACCAGTAGCTATATGTAAGCAAATAAACTGCACTAGATAAGACACACATGGAAACACACACATGAATGTATTCCCTGAGCTATGAATAATAGTGAAAATGTAACCCAAAATAGCTAATTTGGTAAAATTATTCAGTTCAGCTGTAGTCACATTTTTAGCAATGTTATCCTAAATTGTGCTAGTCTGTGTCAATCTGCAACTATTCAGAGTTTAGTAAATTAATTTGATATGCTTTTTTGAAATAAATTTTAATGTAATTTTTTTTCTTCAACATTATTATTTTGCAGTTTCTGCTGGCGGCTCTTTTAGCTGTTTTTATAAACCCATTACAGGCGCAGGAGGTAAGTGGTCACTGATATGGATGACTAAACATAATACTGGAGACGTTAGTGTAACCAAACTCCCATTCCCAACATCCTAAACCAGGATAAATTCCTACAAAGATGTGTATGTGACTTCATACGTACTTCATACGTAATTCATACTGATGTTTTATTACTCATAAATATACTATCATTGTAAAAATACCATCATCATATCACATTTCATTACCATCAATTCTCCCTATTTTCATTTATCAGCCTTCAGATTACATACCATTACTACATCATCAAATTCAGAATTCTCTAAAGCCAGTTTACTAAAACCTTTTGCAAAGGGTAGATGAGAAATGGTTAGATATGATTGATATAGCAAGCAGAATGGTTACCATAATGCCCCCACTCCTTGTATAATTTTTTATGTATCAAACAGGTTTTATTGAACAAATAAAAATAAATAGCAATATATTCACAGTGCAAGCCTCTTTGTTTAGAATTACATAACTGCATTAGAAGAATAGGTAGAAAAGAACAACGCAGTTAACCTAATATACAAAATATTAAACAATACAAATAAGTAGTGAGTCAAAAACAGAGAAAAAATATGTAATCAATATTAGTTACGGCAGGTGTAGGAAATATTTAAGAGAAGCGAGAAAGGGTAAGAGAAAGAAACAACGAGGGAATAGGTATCAAAAGGAGGGGTTAGGCTTTCAGGAATGCTATATCTATTAACAGGTATCTAAACTATCCAAGATTTAGTACAGTGTAAGGCAGGTATTCAGGCACAGATTAAGATGTGGTGACTTCACTTCTTTAACCCCCCCTGTTATGTAGTAGATTAATGGTGTATCATTTTGCCAATAGAAAGCTGCATGATTTGCTAACTAAGGGGGAACTTGGTTTATTATGATATAAAAGTCCGCCCCCCTTATATTCTTTTCTATTAAGCCAAGGAGCCCAAGCCACAAAAATATCATCTTTAGTCACCTAAGCATTCAGGCTAGTCTTGATCTCAGCTTTTATTCACCAGCATAAAACATTGAATATTTCCAAAAAGAGATACTGAATTGTGCTTTTTTCTTTCCAGTGTGAGGATGTTCAGTGTTGTTTCACAGAGTGAAACTGCTGGAAGCGCCTCTAGTGGCTGTCTGGTAGACAACCACTAGAGGCAGTCAACACTACAATTTAGACATTTAGTTTCTCTAAAACTGCAATGTATTACATTGAAGGGTTAAGGTAATAGGAACACTGTACCCAGACCACTTAAATGAGATGAAGGGTTCTGGGCGCCTTTTGTGTCCATTTAAATTGTAAACATGTATTTTCCCTGGTAATAGTAATCATTTGTCTTATTTTGTGAATACAATCAATAATAACATTATCAATAGGGGCAGAAAAAATGCACTAATGACTAAACAGTGGATTTAGTTCTATACATAACAAAATGGTGCAGAAGCACATAACTAGAGGAAATGTAAACGTGAATATAACACATTGTACATAAAAAAACAGAAAACAAAGAAGGGAGAGGGAAACAAACGGAGGACAATCAAGAAATGAATAATTAAAAAAAAAAAAGGTACAATTATAGAATTGGGAGAGTAAATAACCACTTTAACTAAAAATAGTCACAATTTGGACCCACCAACCATAGATAGTTTTATAGTCAGAACATTAAAAATCATGTGAGGACAACACAGCCATTTTGTTCTATAAGTTTATAGGGAGCAAATGATCGTTCTTTCCTGTCAGTAATTTGTGCCACAGGCACAGCACTTACCTAGTAATTAACATTGCTTGTGTGTTACAGACATACCAGTACATCAACCGGGGATACAATGGAGAAACCATTTACAACACAGTGGATGTTCACGAGGATGTCAAAATTGCAGTGGTTAATGCATACTCTGGGCGAGGAACATCCCATGCAGTCTTTGATTACAATCAGGTAAGAAATGACAAAAATTGTCAGTAATATAATGGTCAGTAATATTGTTCCTGAAAGAGAAGACCCAGGCCTGTGCAATAAGTGTATAGAAATAATGACTGATACAGACATACTGGGGGAACTACCACCTGTCAACATGGTATAATTATAAGGATACTATAGGCATCAAAGCAATGTTAGCTTAATGAAGCAGTTTTTGTGTATAGATCATGTACCTGCAGTCTCACTGCTCAGTTCTCTGCCATTTGGGAGTTAAATCACTTTTGTTTCTGTGTAGCCATACCTCCCCTGGCTGTGGCTGAGAGCCTGCATGAAGAAAATGGCTTTATTATCAATCAGATGTTAACTTGTTTTCAAAGTTTTTATATTGTGATGTGCAAATTGACCATACATAGGAAGCTCCTGTGTGATTTATAATGCTATTAACAGAGCAGGAGATAAGAAATGCTAAATTATACACAATGTGCAATAAAGGAAGTTTAAACATCAGATCTTTCTTTATAAGAAATGTTTAGAAAAGCTATATAAGTCACGTGCAGTGAGGTGTGACTAGGGCTGTATAAACAAACTTATTTAACTTGTAAATGGCAGAGAATTGAGCAGTGAGACTGCATGGGCATGATCTATACACCAAAACCACTCAATCTAAAGTTGTTTTGGTAGCTAAAGTGATCCTTTAGCAATTCACTCCCTCCACCCCATGAAAATAAACAAATAAATACAAATAAGGCTGTAACATTTGTTCAGTATACAAGGGGGAAAAAATTAAAAGGCAGGTTGTGTGTATATAATTGACAGTGTGTGTTTATATGTATTACGCAGTGTGTGTGTGTGTGTGTGTTTATATGCATTAGGCAGTTTGTGTGTATGTATAAGGCAGTTTGTGTGTATGTTAATGTTTTAGGCAGCTTGTGTGTATGTGTCTGCACTAGGCAGTTTGTTTGTTTGTGTGTATGTATAAGGCAGCTTGTGCGCATGTGTATGTATAAGGCAGTTTGTGTGTATGTATGTGCATTAGGAAGTTTGTTTGTGTGTATGTATACGGCAGTTTGTGTGTGTGTGTATGTGTATGTATTGGGCAGTTTATCTGTATGTATAAGGCAATATTTGTGTATGTGTGTGCATTAGGCAGTTTGTATGTGTGTATGTATAAGGCAGCTTGTGTGTATGTGTATGTATTAGGCAGTTTGTGTGTATGGATAAGGCAGTTTGTGTGTATGTGAATGCATTAGCCAGTTTTTTAGTGTATATATATTAAGCAGCTTGTGTGTGTGCATGTGTATGTATTAGGCAGTTTGTTTGTGTTTATGTATAAGGCAGTTTGTTTGTATGTGTATGCATTAGGCAGTTTGTTTGTGTGTATGTGTAAGGCAGTTTGTGTGTGTATGTATGTATTAGCAGCAGCAGAACTACCGCCAGCACTTAGGGTCACCCGATGAGTATTGTGGAACAGGGGCCCTGTCAGGAGATGTGGCCCTTTAACAGCGCGACTGGGTCCCTGTGATATCGGTAGCACTGGGAGGAAGTGACACTAAATAGCAAAGTTTGAAAACTTTTTCATCTCAGTTAGATGGACCATTTTTACCATTTTTCAACTAACAATTGAATAAATAGACTCATTTGAATAAATAAAAACACACAGGGAATACTGTGAAAAATGTAAGAGACATTAACAAAAAGAGTAAGCAGAGATGGAAAGTACAAACGAAAGAAATAATAGAGGAAAAGTTGATAAGTCTATAGACACTAGTTTGCTAAGAGAGAGGAATAATCCACTCATGTACATATTTCAGCTTGCTGAAGTGCTTTATATGGCCTGTCATTTTATTGACAGTTTGTGCCAATTTTAATAGAAATAAAAATAAACAAATAAATATCCTTTTTGTCTTTTTTACAGAATATAATTGCCTACCATTTGCCATACAGAGGAATCTGCGTACTTGCCCATATGGATATTAATACCTTCCCTCTCCTGGGACGCTTTCAGGAATTCATCCACTCCAGAAGGGTAAATGCCTGTCTCTAATGTTTTCTCTATGTTCAGTTACTAATCTATATGGGTCAAACAACAAAATACAGGTAACCCAAGAAAAATACTCCAGACACAAAAGTATATAATAATAAGAGCAATAAAAGTAATAAGAGCAATAAAAAACACACAGGATAAAAAAGGAGTCCACAATAAAACTTAAAAGAAATAAAAAATACCAAATGGTATGGCACAGTCTCAAAGGTGGCACTAGATCTTCTAGTACTGGTATGGGGCTTTTTGGTAGCTTCGCTTAACAGCAGTATATGAAAAGGTAGCAAAAACAGAGGCAAATCAATAGTGCAATATGGTAGTACATAGTAGGACAAACAACATTTAGATAATATGTCAACTCACATATGGTAGAGCTATAACCAGCTCTAGATAAAACAGCACGCAGTGGTATACAATACCCACTGCATGCTGTTTTAGCTAGAGCTGGTTATAGCTTTACCATATGTGAGTTGACATCTTATCTAAGTGCCGTTTGTCCTACTACGTACTACCATATTGCACTATTGGTTTGTCTTTGTTTCTGCTTCCTTTTCATATACTGGTATTAAGTGAAGCTACCAAAAAGTCCCATACCAGTACTAGAAGATCTAGTGCCACCTTTGAGACTGTGCCGTACCATTTGGTATTTTATATTTCTTTCAAGTTTTTTTGTGGACTCTTTTTATATCCTGTGTGTTTTTATTGCTCTTATTGATTTTAGTGCTCTTATTATTATATACTATTGTGCTTGGAGTATTTTTCTTGGCGCTACCTGTATATTGTTGTTTGACTTGTTCTAGTTTTTTGGGGGTTGGAGGGATTATTATCAGGTGTGCTGCCTCCCATCCTAGTAATCTTAGTTCGTTTAGCGCTGCTCTATTCCTTGTTTAGTTTTGTCACTAATCTGTATGAACTTGCTTATATATTTTTGTATGCAAAACATTTTAAGTATTAGTAGATTTAAGTGTTAAAAAAAAAATCTTTAAATTTTTCCATTTTACTTTATTTTATTAATATCAAATGCAAGCTTAATTCAAACATTAAAAAGGGAACATACATAACACTTTAAAGTCATTCTGATTGGATAAATATTACACTGTTTTAAATAATTATATTATATATTATTATATATATTAGAGAGAGAGAAATATAAATGCATATGTATTTGACTAAGTTTTTCTCTTTTTCCACCTCCGTAACTAGGAGAAGAAGAAGGAACTAGAAGAAATTCGCAAACATTATGAAGTCACCAACCAGCTTGTGATCAACCTCTCCCAGTTTGGCGGTGCTGTGGAAGGCCTGTGCTGGGGAGTTCCCACTTACTGGGCACGTGAATATCCTAGTAAGTAGAGACAGAATTAGTTTACAATATGAGCTTCCATATAATATATCTATACATAATTATTCATTGTACCTATACTATTGGCAGATCTGGTGCAACAATATTTTCTGTTGATGTAGTGCATGGTTATTATTATTACTGGTATTTATATGGCTCCAACTTATTCTGTAGTGCTTTACTATGTTATAAAAGGAGGGAAATCTAACAAAATATGAGATGGTTACAAAACTATACGTAAACAATAGGTAGATGGGGACCCTGCTCAAACAAGCTGTCTAGAGGAGGTGAGGGCAGCAAAGGGGACAGCAACCAAACAAGGTGGGAAAGTAGCAAAAATGGAGGTTAGAGTACAGTGTGGCTCTTTAGCAAGAGAAGATATGCAACATAGAAGTTACTTTGGGAGGCCATAAGCATTTCTGAAGAGATGGGTTTTGAAGGACTTCTTAAATAATTGAAGACGAGGAGAGAGTCTGATGAGGGTAGACCAGCTGTTCCAAATGGTTAATGATTAATAATAAAGTCCAATGTATCATGGGATTGGGAAAGAATTCAATAGGAGGTAATAATATTTACATCACACGCACTCCATCCTCCATTTTGGGGTATTATACCATTATATGTTTGTCAAACCCTGCATACATTCAACACGTTGGCATTCATAAGACTGATGTGCCACAGCATACAAATGTATGTATTTCTATATTTCACTATCCACAACACCTGTATTGAAAACTAATATAATTTCTGAATAGCAAATGTGCAGATTTGATTTAATGATTGTGCGTCCAGAACGATTAAAATATCATATTCATCCTTACAGGTCTGCCAAGAGTGAATACAGGAATTGGAGCTAGTGGCTGTCTTGGCGTGCACTTATGCTTCATACATGTTGGACTCTGTGGAGGCTTCCATCTGTTCTAACCAGCCTGTCAGTGCTAACCTTTGGGTGCTGTACACATATACTCTGTAACCTCATTGAAATATATGCATTTTGTGAAGGTGAATGAGATGGAATGTGTTCCTAGTCAACTAGCTTTTAACATGAGTGCTTGATTCTGCTATAAAACTGGCCTTATAACAATAACAATGTCTTATTTTTTCTGAAATGTAACAAAACCTATTCTAATGCATGGAATGATATAAAGACATACCTCTTATATCATTATCGTATACCACTTAAGACAGCAAAGAGTTTTGGGTAGTTACAAGGATATAGTAAGTAAGGGCTTGTGATTTAACCTTTACCATCTGCTCCTCATTTCTTTGAATGAAAGCCATACTGAGTATAGAATATCAGACAACTAAGCATATCTGTTAATGTAAGTAAAAATTCATAGCTATGCAACCCCAGGTTTTATTTCCTACATTGGAACCAAAAAAATCTGTTTCAAGAAATAAAGTATGTTGATGTAAATGACCTTTCCTGTGTTAATTGTTCCATGGGATTATTTCTTTTCTAATTCAAAATCTCTACCATTCTTTTGCAATTTTATCAGCCATTATGTAGGGGCAACATAAAGATAATTGGTGAAATGTTAGCCTTTATTGAGAAGAATATCAGATGTTCTTTATCAATGCTTTATCACCATTTCTTTTACGATTCCAAAGTACCAATTTCACAGAGTAATACTTCTGTTATCTTTGGTAATTCACGTGACACAGTTGTTCTCAAAACAATAAGTTAGGCAAGCTATCGTAGTGGGAACACAAATAAAATGGAATAAAATAAAACAAAACTCACTCAGATGGCAACTTCCAATGCCTTGGGAATGAGTCACATAAACTCTCATATATTACCCTTAAGCCACTGCCACCCCCCACCCCTTTCCCACTTAAACTAACCAGTTAATGTTGTTAGCTGCAATCTGGCTGATAGAAAAATATGTCTAGGCATTTCCTTCTGTTTTGCTTTCCTTTCTGGCACTGCATTATGAACCCCATGTCTAGGGTCAGCTTTCCTATTAGGCAGAGTAGGCACCTGCCTATAGGCTCCTGACCGCTATGGAGCACCTGTTTTTATGACTTACATTCATGGCCAGACTGGAGGACTGGAATACCAGGACATCTTCCGGTGGGCCAGCATACTTTTGGAGAGCAGGGTAACTGGCAGGAGGTGAACCTGGTCTGACAGGAAGTGCTCACACAGAGCACAGAACTGCTCCCTTGCAGAACGGGGAGAGGAATAGAAGCTCCTTTACTGCGGTCTGACTGCTCTGCCATGCTACAAGGTACAGAGGAGCTAATGGGACACATGGAGAGCTGGGGGGGTGGGGGGGCTAATGAGACAAAAAACTAGGCTTTATCACACCAGTAAGTAATTTTCATGTTGCCAATGACTTAAATATAAACCTCTACCCAATAAACTTAGCTTTTCTATAAAAAAAAAGGTAAGCTGGCTCACTTAAAGAAATTCTATAATAACAGGAAAACAAACCCGTTTTCCTGGAACTGTAGGCTCTTGCAGTGCCCCCTCCGTTGCGCCCCGCCTCCCTCCTGAATGGCTGAAGGAGTTAAATCCGCTTCAGTCACTTACCTGAATCCAACGCCGATGTCCCTCGACACTGGGTCAGGCTCCGCCCACGCTCTTCCCCCGCCGATGTAAGCCGGGAATGGCCGCGCTCGCATTAGGATTTCCCCATAGGAAAGCATTATTCCATTTGTTTTGATTTGTTTCAATTCCGGAAGTCCCTCTAGTGGCTGTCTAGTAAACAGCAATAATTACCACTGTAGGGTTAAGGGACATGACACATTGCACCCAGACCACTTCAATGAGCTGAAGTGATCTGGGTGCCTACGATGTCCCTTTAAACCAAATTTGTTCATACAATGGGCTTCCTATGTTTCAAATATTAAGGAGCAATAGAAAATTAACTAGCTAAGAGCATTCTTTTCAGATAAATAATAATATAATTCTATAAATCTTATACAAAATCTATGTATGTCAAATTATTTTTGAAAGCCACTGTTATATCAATCTACATCAATTTTTAATAACACCTGGGTAGATTGTTTTTCAAAGATAATTTTTTTGGAAGAGCAGTGGGCTGAAATGTTTTTTTTTTTTTTGTTACACCAGAGTTAAATAAGTTGTGGATGACAAGAAACACATTCTAAACTATTCACACAGGTTCTCTGTATCATTCCTTGATACAGTCTGTTAACAAGTTATAACATGATCTACCCGTAGCTTCAGCAGTCACAAGACACTTCAGGCAATGTAATTATTCCAAATATTAAAAAGTGATAAAAAGTGATAGGATTGAGCTCTGGCAAATTAATATTTGAATATCATCGCAACTGGAAAACTATCAAATTAACCTCATATTTTAAATTCAATGTGATTATGAATTTGGGCTCTTTTAGACCAAAGTGTCCATGGGTAATGTTTTTTATTTCAATGCATGTCTGCATAAATCATTATTCTATACAATTTTACCTGACCATGAATCCTGCATGTTGCCCCCTTGTTATATAGTGTCATACAAATGCCAAATACTGTCAATCAAAATTATATTTTCATATTTGAAATGTTGTCATATTTATTTTAAAAAAATGCATATTATAATATATGTCACATTTGCACAAGGAAAGTGAGTAAAAAGAAATCATAATAACTTTGAGAATTCAAACCAATCGCTCACTCATTTACTCTTCAATTTGGTCCAAGTCTACTGTTGTAATTGGCCCAATCTCAAGGTTATTAACAACAGTCAAGTATTAAAAAAATACTCAGATTGGTTTAAAAAATCATCTGACTTGAATCAAGTAGCATGCGTGTTTGGGTCAAGGAACAGACTCACCTTACATCAAATTAAGGGTTGCTAAAAACTTGACTTGCAATGTTGCAATAATTTCATTCCACGCCAATCATGATCATTGATTATAATGGGTGTATGTAGTTAGTATGTTACCGAGTAGCAGAATTTTGTGAAAATATATTTTAAACTCAGGGCAATTCAACCTTTGGAGAACAGTCCCAAGAAGTGTAAAATATATTTTATTTTGAGGGGAAAAAATGCATTATATAAGATCTGATTTTGTTCAATGTATTCAAAATCTGAGAACAGATTAATATAAGAAATAATTTATGTTAGGTTATCTGATAAATGTTAGTAATTCAGTCTAACAGTAATTTCATACATAGTTGATTTGCCAAGCTAAGAGAAACTTTGCTATTCAATGTATATCAATGTCATGTGACTATAATGAAAAGCATAAGGTGAGTCCTTATTTGACTTCTAATTAAATTGTTTGATATTTTACATGCTGTCACGGGTTAGTTAGAAAAAGCAAGCATGTGCCATTTTATGTCTTTAATGCCTGCATTATTCTCCGTCATCACAAGATGTCAGGATTTCAACTGTTATTGGTTTCACAAAGGGAAAAAAACATGGACAAAAAAAAAAAATATATGCAGGTTTAGACAAAGCAATTTTGTGAGAAAGAAGTTTTCATCCCAACACTGAGGAGTAGATCTTCTTGTGTGCAGCAATCTAATGTGATGCAAACAACAAGAGGTGCAACGTAGACAAAGAAGCAGGACATTTTGGGTCAAGTTATGAAAAGGAAGCCAACAAAATAATACATTACAAAACAAAGAAAAGAAGTGGAAGACAATCTTTAGATATTGTTAGTGGATCTTAGTGACTCGTCTGCAGTGGATTGAAACTTTTGTTTTTCATTTCATTCGCTTGAAAAAGCTATGGCTGGGTTCTGTGCATTTCAGCATGGTTTAAAACCATTGCTCTTGGCTACATTTCTTCTCCTCTGTGATGGACAAGGTGGGACAGAAGAGACCAAAGGTCATTCCTGCTATGGTGGTTTTGATCTGTATTTTGTTCTTGACAAGTAAGTGACCTTTTTAATGCATGCAAACTTTTCAGGTTATTTAACATATCATGACATAAGAAACTTAGTCTGCACATTGATGTATGATATATTTTTCATCGTTTTTCCTTATCAACGGGCATACCTTACTCTTCGTAACACATTCGCTATATTGTTTCTACATTGGCTTTTTAGAAGGATATGTTTGGCATGCAAAGGGTTAGGTCTCTGTATTATTAATCTAAATTCTGCTGCAGACCAAGTTGGTGCCTGGGCAATAGAGACAAGTTTGGCTTCAGAGTCACACATTGACACTATTAACAATCAGAAATTATAAAGGAGTCTTTATGGAGAATTTGCTTATAAGGACATGATGTTTAGAATATTCATAAAAGGCTTTAGTTTGAGAAATCTTTGGAATGAATATGAGGTCGTAAAATCCCATCATACATTAATTCTCAGTGGATTCTATAGTTTGGCAGCTTTGCAAACTTTGTATTGCATTATTAAGGAATTTACATGTGCGGAACAATGGCCTTATTAAAAAAAGATTGCTACAGTTTATGCTACTTCGCTCCAAATCAAGACTCTAGCCAATGCCCCTTGGGAAATTTCCATCTCCAATCCTATCCGTGCACCAGACACATAACAACATCCAAGTCTTAAAAGTTAGGCTTGGGTTGTCATCATCACAGAATTTCTATCACTTGGTTCCAGACTTGTTATTTTTACCATAGATATAAAACAGTAGCTGATAGTTTGTACCACATCCGTTACCCTTCACCACTTTACAGGGTCACTGGTGAACAAATAACCCAATTTCTAACCATCGTCATATTGAAGCTCTCTAAAAATGCAGAGCTTTATTCCAGGTCAATGCAAAGTGAATGCAAGTTGCACATAGCCCGAGGCTTGGAAAGAAGTAGCTGAGCCAGCTGTTTTTCTCCTTCAGATGAGAGTTAGCCCTGGTTACCTCTGCAGCTGATGACTGCAAGGATTTGCCAGCTGTGCTGAGGGATGATTTTGCAGTGTTTTTTTCAACCGCCGCTTTAGTGGTGATGTCAAAGTGTGGGAGACAGCTGGCCTCAGTAGCA